TCTCCAAATCGATTAAAGGAGTCATATTGGAGATGAACTGTTGCAAAGTCACAGCAGTCGATTTCTTCTTCGTCTTGTCTCCCACCATAGCCATTACTGCTTCGCTTCTGTTGCTGCTCTTTAGTTTAGAGAGAGGGAATAAGAGAACTAACCTTTTTAACGAGGTTTACTAAAATGCGTAAATTATTACTCTAGTCCTCAACTTTTGACCTTGGCTTGTAAAGTTTCCCTCAATTTTTAAAACCAATCCACCTTCACCTTGACAAGTTTTTGATTACTTTACAGTATTTTGTTTGGTCTGAAAGACACTATAAGAGAGGAAGAAAAGTAACTATAATCAATCAAATTATTTCCTTGGCTAGTCTAACAGCTTAATTTCATTGATTGAAAGAAAATCACCTCCTTTCCTAGTTTCCCTTTCTTTCACCTTTCCTTCAAACAAAACAGAGTATTAATGGTGTTTCAATAGTCAATTTTTATAATTCAATCAAATAATAGTCAGTCTTTTAACTAACTTCTCTTGACATCTACTTCAATAACGAACCTTATTTCTTATGATGCTCAAAAGTTAACCTAAATCTGTAACTTTTGATACACTAAAATCTAGACAATTTACAATTTCTGCTGTATATCAACATTCAAACGTCAAATGCAATTATCAAAATAAGAATCCTTTCTTATCAACCAAAAATAACTTCATTTAAAGAGAGTATAAAGTGGTAATCCAATCCATACAACACATTGCTTGTAAAAACTCATCAAGCCACTACAAAGACATCATCACCTAAGTTCAAAAAATAATAAAACAAGGATGATCGGGATGCCTAGCACCATATTTTCTGCTGGCTTTCTAGATAAATAACAACAAATAGAAATTAATCTTTATAAGAACATCCTACTACCCATTTTCCTGGGCTCCTGAATATAGATGTAGCAAATTAGGCAATAAATTGAAATGTCCTGAGTTGGGGACAAAGAATCTTATTCCTTCAAGTTCTTTACGTATTCATTATAGTATTCAGAGCTACTCAGATACTAGCCATGCTCCTCAAAGTACTCCATGAATTGCTTTAAGAATCATCTGTCACTTATTGTTTCGGAACACAGACAAGGCAACACTATCTTCTTGCTCGAGTCATAGTCACATTCATTCGTCTGCAGTCACTTGAAAACCCCACCTAAACATATTTAAAATGACACAATTTTATTTTCAATATAGAATCCACCAAAGGAAAAAATAGTTAGAATTGTAGCGTAGAGTACCTCTTTGGTAGAGTTTGATCAAACCAGTGAAATCATAGTGGCTTCCTTGTCTCGACCTTGGACACCCATCAACGGTTGAGATCTTTACATCCTTTTTAGCCGGTCCTCATTGCTTCTCAACATCTTTAGTTAGACAACCTGAAATATATTTGGAATTTTAAAAAACAAAACATCATATATTGGTCATATTGCAAAACAAATGGGAGTAGAGGAAGGGTAAATATCTAGCTAGTATTTTGGTCCTCGCTTTATTAAGCAAGTTACAAAGCAAATGAACTAGACAATTAACTAGAGCACAGTTCAGTGTTTGGTACCTGGGCAGCATGTAGGGTAATGTAATAGTTACAATGGACTCCACTTTAAGTCTAGTCTCTTTGTATGTGAAAAATCAATCTCAGCTTCACCTTCATTTAGTGTGTTGTTTTCATCTTTCTTTTAATCCATGTCATATCTGAAGTAGATCAATCATGTATCTTCCACAAATTTAAGAGCTTAAATCAGTAAGTCCTAATAAAATTTGATTACAGAATCAATGTCAAGTCAGGAAGTAACATTCATGCTTGTTAAGAATCAAAGTTTAACTTGTTTAAGATTCACAAGCTCCACAATCTGAACTTTTGTACAAAACAGAAAAATCTCACTTAAACACATTAATAGAAGGGAATTATTGTCTAGCTCATGTTATAATGAAAGCCATTATGCTAACAGTACACAAAGAAAAGTATAACTGTAGCACCAAAACCAGCAAAAATGTTAAAGCTCCAAACCATTTATTTGAGTCCTCACCTTGTGAGCAGGAAGAACATCTTTTTATGTTTTCCCCATTAGCCCTATCTACTTTGAAACCAAACTCAAAATAAATTATAAGATAGCTGAGAGATTCATTCCATTTTGGTAGCAAACAGAAAAATGGAAAACAGCTTTAGAAAGTAGAAACTAACAATTGCAATCATTAAGAGAATTTCCTATTGTTCAACTTGTCTTAAAAAATGAGGGCTAACCCGTGCATTGAGTGGACTTTCCAAAACTAGATATAGCAAACGTGCAAGATAACCATTGTTGCATTGGGAAACATATCATTATGCACCTAAGGCTGAGAGTGATCAAGGATGGAGTAGAAAGGGGTGAATGTAACATCTTTCTTTGACAATGTTGGAGGTCTATCACCAAACAAGACAACAACTAGAACTGCATCTGTATCAATGCATCCTTCATCTTATGATATGTCATCTGCACAGGCAAATCAATCTGGATTATTTTTCCTATAAGCCAGAAGTGAATTTGATTAGAGAATCAAATCTTGGCCACTTAGGTAAGAAAGTGTGGCACTGAGCCTTCTATCCTAGTTAAATGACTATGATCTCATTCAGGCTTGTAAAGATGTGAAAATATGAATCAGAGTCTGACTTGTATATAATTCCTAAGGTCTACACTAAGAACTTTTCAGAGAATAAAGAACTGAAAAGCCATTCTTGGCTCCCGATGTTTCCCTAAATCTTTCCATCTTGTACTTTGAACAAGAAGCAATCACACAGCAGGAGAATAAGAAGAAGAAAGAACAAAGAAGAAGAGAATCAATGAATTCGTGAGTTGATTGTTGTGGGTTGGAATTCCTGCTTTCTCTCCAGCAAATTCATCATATAGATTAGATTGAAAACACATATTTATGTTTGTACATGGTACAACCAAGATATATAACAATGCAGCAAAATACATAAGAATACATATGGGATTTTAAATCAATTTTCAACACAATTAATTTACAGAGAGTATGAAAACACAAGAATCACACTAAAACAATCCACACAAGGGTAGTAGAAAGGACGTCCTTTGAAGCCCAGAACCGAAAGCAACAGACTGGCTGAATAAACCAGCTTCCTGATCCAATGAAAAAATTAAAGGAAAAATTCATTACTTGAAAATCATTGGGAAGGGAAATTAATCACTACCATATATTTTTAACAATAATCAAGGAATTTATTTATGCATTTTCACCCACTAAAATTTTTTTCAATTTGTAGGGAATGAATGCCAAAACAAAGATTTGCAGAGAGTATCAACTAAATTAAAATAGAAAATTGATCCTCACCTTTCAATCTTGTGGATAATCCACCGATTCCGACTGTTCCGACTCTCATTATGGAAACGCGGAATAATCAGGAAAAAAATCCAACAATGGTTGAAGGACATCCTTTGCATTGGGATGGTCCCACTCCAACGATTCCCACCATACTAGTTCTCCTCGCTTTATGATGATTGCTTTGAGGGTAGGAGGAGGAGAAGATGGTTGGGCGTTATCAACCAGGGGAAGAGAAAGAGGCATCCTCCTTAGGCCCTTGCAATCACTAATGAGAATACATCCAAGAGAATCACATACCATTACTGCCCTCCTGCTACAGATGCTCTTCAATGCTGGCAATTTGTTCAATGACAGCTTTTTTAATTTTGGAAGAATGAGCTTCTTGATGATGTCCCCTCCTTCTTCTCCTTCTTCTTCTGGATCTGATGCTATTATTTCTTCCATTTCTTCACAATATCCGACAGCCATCTCCTCTAGATTTTGGAGATATTCCACCAACTTCCAAGATGGAAACAACTTCTTTAATTTTTTGCATTCCCAAATCCCAACATTTTTAAGAAATGAAAAAGTGCGAGGCTGAGGTGGTGACATGGCAATCAATTCTACTTCAAACAGCGAATCCAAGTTGTCCACCCCAGAAAGAGATAGAGAAGGAGGGAGATGAAAGGGAATCCTCACCTTGTAATCACTAATGGAAATATATTCAAGAGAATCACATACCATTACTACCCTCCTGCTACAGATGCTCTTCAATGCAGGCAAGTGGCACAATGACAAATATTTTAATTTTGGAAGAATGAGCTCCTTGATGATGTCCCCTCCTTCTCCTTCTTCTTCTGGATCTGATGCTATTATTTCTTCCATTTCTTCACAATATCCGACATCAATCTCCTCTAGATTTTGGAGATATTCCACCAACTTCCAAGATGGAAACAACTTCTTTAATTTTTTGCATTTCCGAATCTTAACATCTTTAAGAAATGAAAAAGTGCGAGGCTGAGGTGGTGACATGGCAATCAATTCTACTTCAAACACCCAATCCAAGTTGTCCAACCCATCAAGAGATAGATGAGGAAAGAGACGAAAAGGAATCCTCCTTAGCCCCTTGCAATCAGTAATTTTAATATCTTCAAGAGAATTAGATACCATTACTGCCCTCCTGCTACAGATGCTCTTCAGTGCGGGCAAGTGCTTCAACATCAACTCTTTTAATTTTGGAAGAATGAGCTCCTTGATGATGTCCCCTCCTTCTTCTCCTCCTTCTTCTGGATCTGATGCTATTACTTCTTCCATTTCTTCACAATATTGGACAGAAATCTCCTCTAGATTTTGGAGATATTCCACCAACTTCCAAGATGGAAACAACTTCTTTAATTTTTTGCATCCCCAAATCCAAACTACTTTAAGAGATGAAAAAGTCCCAGGTGGAGGTGATGACTTTGCAATGATGTTTGCTTCAAATAGCCCATCCAATTTGTGCAAATTCTGAAGATCCAGATACTCAACGGTTCGAACGACTGGGTTGTCTATCCACGAGGGAAAAATGCACTCCATGCCATCACATCCCCGAATCCAACATTCCCTCAAACCTTCTGCATCGTTGATTTTAAAAAAATCATTTAAGCTTCTTATGTCATGGCAACCTTTAACAACTAAGGTTTGTATGGAGGGAAATAGCATATTCTCTCCAACAATACTAGTCTCTGTGAACACCACTACTTTCTTGTATCTTACTACCTCTGCCTCTACTCCCTTGTTTGTTGCCCCTGCCGCTACTCCCCAGCACATTACCCCTGCTTCGTTGTATCTTACCCCTACTTCCTTGCATCTTGCCCCTACTTCGTTGTATCTTGCCCCTACTTCCTTGCATCTTGCCCCTACTTCGTTGTATCTTGCCCCTACTTCCTTGCATCTTGCCCCTACTTCGTTGTATCTTGCCCCTGCTTCCTTGCATCTTGCCCCTACTTCGTTGTATCTTGCCCCTGCTTCCTTGCATCTTGCCCCTACTTCGTTGTATCTTGCCCCTGCTTCCTTGTATCTTGCCCATACTTCGTTGTATCTTGCCCCTGCTTCCTTGTATCTTACGGTTCTTACCGCTCCTCGCGGCAGCCTATTTTCAAAATTTTGAGTCACAAACGAATCTTCTCTTCTTCCAACATTAATAAAATAGTCACTCAGCCTATTAGGCTGACATTTGAGGAAGATTCTCATTTCATTCACAGTGGGGAACCGACCATGAAAAACTTCCAACTTCTTCAATCTCCCAACCACGTCCCCCTTCAATTTTATTTCACTTTTATTTACAAGTAACTCCTGAAGTTTGGAGAGATTTGATAATACTCCATCTGCTATTTCAACTATTTTAGTTCCACTAAGAAAAAGGCAAATCAAATTCTTCAACATTCCCAGGCCTTCAGGGACTTCTTTGATTCTTGTCCCCCTAAGGTTTAACTTTTTCAAGGATACAAGGCCTGATAAAGATGGTACCTTTTCTAGGGATGTTTCTTCCAACAACAATGTAGTAAGCTTCACCAATTTGGAGACTGAATTTGGCAACCTTCTTAGCTGCCAATTGAAGGACAGATCAAGAATTTTTAGCTCTGGCATATGCTCAAAGATAGATTCTGAAATTGTTGACAAATTGTTATTAGCCAACAGCAAGGTTGTGAGCCTTGTGCATGTAGAAGATGCCATGCTCGATGGAATTTCTTCAATATAATTATGCATTAATGAAACCTTTTCAAGACCTTCTGCACAATTTACCCTCTCTGGTAGCTCTTTCAATGCCTTGCCAGCTTCTACCAAGAACCGAGGACTCCTTCTTGTAATGTCTAAGGCCATGTCCCTGACAAGATCATGCATGCTCACATGATTTCCTCTAACTTCACCTTCCATCAATTCCTCATCTTCAATCAATTTCTCTTCTTTAATCAATTCCAACAAGCTACATTCTTCAAGCTTCTTCAAAATATAATAACCCCAATCCTTCATTGCTTGCCGAGTGTCCATTTCATCTATAAACCCCTCATCAATCCAATATTCAATTATTTCCTCCTTCAAAATCATGTAATCCTCAGGATACAATGCACAATATAAAAAACAATCTTTGATCTGTTTGTCTTCCAAACGATCATAACTGAACTTTAATATCTGAAATGCATCAGCATTATCTGGACCTGCCACATTTCTTTTGCAATCTCTCAATTGATTCAGTGCAACACTCCACAACCGTGAGTCAGATATTCCTTTTAAGCTGCCAGCAACTGTACTAAGTGCCAATGGAAGACCATCACATTCATCCACAATCTCCTTCAAAGTTGATTCTAAATCCTTTTTAATGCCCCCTTCATGATCTGATAAAACAGCATCTCCAACTTTATTTAGAAACAATTTTAAAGCTTCCTCTGGTGGAAGAGTGTCCACTTTGATTTCTTTACAATCCAGTGAACGAACAGCCTCTAGTGACCGCGTAGTTAATACTAACTTGCAGCCATTAGTTACATTAGGCTCAGGAATTCCAACTTTATTAAGTTCAAAACCCTCCCACACATCATCAAGAATCAGCAAGAAAGGCTTGTGTTTTTCTAGCATCTTTGATAACATTGCTGCACGATTAATTGCATTTTGACGCGGATCTAGGTTTTCCTCCAAGCTGCTCGCAATTTGATCTTGCAGTTTGTAGACTTCAAAGTTTTGTGACACAGTTACCAAAATTATTTTATTGAAGTTACCTTCTTTCAGCAGTTCATTGTGGACATGCATCATGATTGTTGTTTTCCCGACTCCCCCCATCCCCCAAACCGCAAGCTTTGTCACCTCTTCTCCCTTTTCTCCCTTCAAGCATGCCAAAATTTCTGCTTTAACATCCCCACTGCCTTGTAATTCTGATGCTTGTAGTTCAGTTGTTGAAGTTGATGGATCATCTACAACCAAACTCTCTGGTAACTTACTTCCATCTTCACATAATTGTTCCATTTCTTTAATCTTTTCTTTGAGAAGCTTTGCTAGGGAACCCGAAGCACGTAACAGACATCCGCCTTTCTCAATTTTATCTTCAATATCTTGGGCAACAGGTCCAGTTATTTCTTCCACTTTGTCTAGCCATTGCTTGACTTCCTCCTTTGCCTTTTTTCCATAGATAAGCTGTGAATGCAATTCCAAGCTAATATCTCGTTGTTTGGGCTGCAGCTTCTCTTTCAATTTTTTAAAGTTCTGCAAATAATCATTGAAGTTTATCTGATCTTTCAAATATCTGACAATTGGACCACTAACAAGCTTCACAATTTCAATAATTGGCGCTACCAAGTCCATTGTACAATCACTGCATCGTAGTACATATTTACATAAAGATGTGGTCAGAAAATATTTGTTTGCATGAGAAGGCATTATTATCTTGCGTTATAAAAAGGAACTTTTGGAATATCAAAAAATACTTAAAGAATAGTCATTCTATTGAATTAAACATACAACCCTTTAAGTATCCTTATTTTCTTAAGAAACCAAAATGCAACAAAGTTATATGCATGTGGATCAAAGAATGAGACATAAATCATATGAAACGGAAGTAGTAGAACTTTGACCTTCAAGTGAGTAGTGGACACAAACTAAAAAAACAGGGACATTGTTATAGGCATTTGGATTCCAAGAAAGAAACACAAATCAACTGTTTGGTTAATTGAAAGAAGAAAATACACCTTGCTTAAATTGATAGTGTTTTATTCAAATGACAAGAAAGGATTGATCAATGTGCCTGACAAAAAGGCTGCTCCACAAGTTGCATGTGAAGGAGAAACCAAAATGTAACAAAGTTAAAAGGAAGAAACTTACTATGCATTCTAGGAGAAGAAGAGTACATATAAATCAAAGAGAAGATTATGCTACTATATATTAAAGTTTAATGAAAATTAAGATATAAAATCATAAATATCAAAGTATAATGAAAAGATTATGCTACTTGTTATTAAAGTTTAATGAAAAGATTATACTACTAGATTATGCTCTTCAAAGTATAAAAAAATCAAGCTTTGAGGAAAGACAAACGAATGTGAAAAAACATAATTTAGGAATTAAGAACTATATATACCTGCTGCCTGAAAATTTTCTTCTTCAATTTGAGAGTTTTTGAGAATATTGAAAACGTAGATTGCAGAATATGATGTAGATTTCACCAAACTAATGGAATCTGCAAAAAAAGAATACGATGTGAAGATCAGGTTTTCATAAGGCAAGAGCAAGAACAAGATAAGAAAGTAGCAGATTATTAATTGCACGAGAGGCTTTCTTGAAACAAAAATCTGGAGTTTGTTTCAAAGAAGAGACTAGAACACCACTATTTCCATAAAATGGTGAAGATAAGCAGTATGAATGTGGTCAGGAATTGTTGAAACAGCCGTAAACTTAAGTGTAAGAATGCATGAAAGGAAAGAAGAAAATTCTATAGCCCAGAATCAGTAGGAAAGTTAGGAAAGGTTTTGGGAGGAGTTTTTGCAAGCTAAGGCTATATTAAGGTAAGTTTTAGCATTTTCTTAACTTAGACTTAAGAAAACTACGTTATAACGGTAAAGCAAAGGAGGAGTTTTAAGTGCAGAATTTAGAGACATGAAATAGTATTTATGTACTTGAAAGAAAGAAACTTACCTTTGATTTTTTTATCTCCCTTTGTTTGCTTGTGCTAGAACCTTTTAAAAGGTGATTTTTTTTATTGAAAATCTGCAAGAAGTGAAAACATGTAGCTGCGTTAGTTGTACGGACACTTTTATCTTGCTAATTTTCTGAATGAGTGAACTGAACTAAGTATGAACACATGCACATACAGGTGAAAGAATGAATCATAATTCATGTTGCATAAGAATCTATGGTATGATACCTATGCTATATGCTAGATAAGAACTCCCGAGGGACTTGGAGTAAGTTAAAAGAAAGATGTCTAGATCCTCTGCACAATAGGAAGAACCATGGCTAGTCCATTGATATGGTGGGATGTACACCCACAAGGAAAAATCCATATATAGGAATTTGCATTCATTTACATGTACAGAATAAAGTTATCATGCTGACTGTTTTAGGAGATATGAATTATATGCTCATGTTTGGGTAATACGCTTGATCTAACTGTTCAGTTTTTGAAAAACAACATTTGATGGAACTAGTTCTACTTTGGTAGCAACATAGATTTTTTTCCTAATTATCTTCAGAACATGGCTTAAGTTAGCTTCTACTTTTGAAAGTTAAGTTAATTGCTTACGCTAAACCTACTGAGCTTTGCAGCTTATGGAGTTTTCATTCTGCTGTTGTTACATATAGAACTAACTGAAGGTAGTGTACTCATTTTGGGAGCCTAGGAAGAATCTTCCAGTCCAATTGTAGGCCTAGAGTCAACATTGGTAAGACAAATTTTTACTTTGCCCAAAACCTAGTCCTCACTCTCTGATTTTGTGCTTGAACTTATGAACCTTTTGGTGTTATGAAATACAAAGGGCAGTTGTAAGGAGACCTTATGTTTTGTTATGTAAGCTTTGTAAAAGAACTTGGAAAACATGTACATAATGAAAGGACTGGACTTTTATATTTCTTTGGTTCTATTCTGAACCATATAAGTGTTTGTTGTCAACGTTGTTAGTTTTTGGAGTTTGAACTTTCACCACCTTTCCTAGTCCAAGATTCCTAAAGTAACGCGTACTTTTATAACTTGGTCTTGAAGGTGGTTATTACTTTCTAAGTTTTACTGAAAACAGGTGAAGGTGCAGTTCAATTTTTGCTAAAAGGTTTATATGTTTGTCTTTACAAATCTTGTAAAGTTCTTCAATTCATTAGCAGGAATGCAACTTTCCATGCACCAGAAATATTCTAAGTTCTATAAGCTTAAAATGAATTCAACGGTTACTCAATATTTGAAAGACTTTAAAATTTGAACTATATGCTCTATTTTTAGTTGGTTTACTTGTTTTAGGATGTAACAAACAATGGTATCAAAGCCAATCCTTTTGCTAGGTGTCAAGTTTGTTTTGAAAGATGCTGCACTACAAGTATATATAGTAAACTAATTGATTATGGAATATATGTTTTTCATGTTTAAATATGCATGTCAGGACAAAGCAAAAATATTTGGAGAACAGACACATGTTGGTGACCCTACAGTTGATAATGGTGGCCAAAATTCTGGGGCTGGTAGAAACACTGGAATTTCAATGGATATGTTGCAGGCTATAGTGCAGCAAATTGTTCAACAGACCTTCTCGAATACGAATTAGAAACAAAATACACAAGGACAAACATAACTGAAGGTTCGAGAGTGAGTGGAAGTTGAACAAATAGAGGATGATCCAAACTATCAAGCAAAGATGAAATTAAGTGAAGAAATTTCAGCAGTGGAATCCACCCGCTTTTAAAGGAACTCAGGATACCAGAATTGCTGATGGATGGGTGAAGAATTTGAACCAGATTTCCCAAGTAATGAAATGTGGAGATCTACATAAAGGGAAGGAAGATGGCCTTCCGAACCCAAATGCACTATAATAGAAAGGGTAAAACAAATAGACATTTTAAAGAATTGGTTGAAGCCAACCATGTCATTGAACACGACAAATGGGGAAAGAGTCAAACCAGCATTTAGATATTTTATCAAAAATACCATAGGTATAACATTACGTGTAATTATAAGTTTACAAGATTATGT